TGGCCTTGACTGGGTGCCTAAGAAACTGGGTGAGCAAAGACACTGTTTGCTGTTTGTGTGAAACCGAGTAAATCCTCATCTTTAATCATCAAGAATGAGAATTTTGATTAGTTTGGAAAGTTTGAGACAAACAAAAAGTCTCAATATAAACTTTGGTGAATGCTTAACTTTTCTGAGCAAACTCCTACTTGTTCCAGTCTCTCCCTCTTCAGGAGTATTTACTGATTGGAAATAGATGTTATTTTTGCATTCACAACATCCGTAAAGCTTGATGACACTTTCTGCCTTCAGTGCTTACAGGAAATGCAGAGTTTAAGGACTCTGATACTGGAAAAAACAACGTCATAGGAAACATGTTCATGTACATAAATGAGACATTAGTTCTGGTAAAATATTCATAGATCCTTAACTTGGTAGCATTTTTATTCTTCCCTCTTACTAGCTTTCATTTAAACATATATTTCATGGTTTCTTATGTTTACCATTAAAAATAGTTTCTTAGTGTCACTTTCACAAGGAAAATCTCGTCACCATGAAACAAAAGTTTATATTTGTGGTGGAAATGAAGTGAATTTCTCTGGACAGATGTGAGCATCGATGTTCCGGACACCCTGGACCTGAGCGGCCTGCAAGCGACCGGCCAGCAGCCGGGGGAGGAGCTTCTACCTGAGGTGGCCCCGCCCCCACTCATGACCCCAGATGTGGAGGTCAAAGGTATCCTGGGTTCGCATGGCAACGAGGACGACGACTCGCTCTACTCCCCGCTGCTGTGTCAGTCTGTCTGTCATTTCTGCTCCTTTTCTTCTTCTCCTGCCACTTTTTTGTCTTCACTTGTTTTCCTTCTTTTCCTTTTTCTACCTTTTCTGTTCTCATGAGTCCGTCTGTTGCCTTTTTAGTTCACAATTTCTAAATTAATTTCTTTTAAAAAATGGAAACATCAGTTTTTTTTTTTTTTTGTTTTTTACCTGTTTTTAAGTTATTTGTATGTCATTTTTCTTTAAAGTAACTTGAACTTCAAAACAAAAGCATTTTTGTCAAGTTCTTGCAAATATCTTCTTATACTTGGAATAAAGACAAAACTAACTTCTAGGTAAATATCAGCTAAATGTAAGTTTGTTTTAAGTAAATATTCCACAATATTGAAAGTTACTGAGGAAAAATATGTTGTAAAGTTTTATTTTCTTGGCACTTTTAACAGATAAAAATCACAAAGTGCTTCACAAAGCAAAAACAGGAAAAGCATAAAAGATACAAAATTAAAATTAAAAGAATTTTTTTAAAATAAGATGCCATATGCTGCTGAAAACTTACATTCAACTTTATTAGTATATTTTTACTTGAAATTAAGCTGTAAAAATTGGTAAGATTCAGTTTTTTAGTTCAGAAAAATAGAAACTGGCTAATCATAAAATAATTCAACTGTTTCCTGTCAACTTTATCCCAGCTCCAGTCCTGGATGACTCCACTGTGTCCCAGTTATGTGAAATGGGGTTTCCACTGGAAGCCTGCAGGAAAGCAGTCTACTACACTGGGAATACTGGAATTGATGCTGCCATGAACTGGATCATGAGCCACATGGACGATCCTGGTGTGTAGAAGCTGGGAATTTTCCAGGCAGCGTTCCAAGTGGGCTCTTTATTCAATTCGTTGGTGTTTCTGTCTCCTGGTTGTCTGCAGACTTTTCGGCTCCGCTTGTGTTGCCAGGCAGCAGTTCTGGACCTGGAACCACTCCCACAGAAAGCCTGTCTGAGGAACATCTGGCAACGATCGTCTCCATGGGCTTCAGTCGAGATCAGGCAACCAAAGCGCTCAGAGCAACGGTTAGTATCACAACGTTCGTTTAGAAGAGGAAATTGGCAACTTTTGGAAAATCTGTGTGATTATGCTGCTGTGTTTTCCCAGTTTTATTACAGAAAACTTGATCTAACAACTTTAAATTTCACTTTTTTTGTGATGATGATGATGTTCTCTTGAGAAACAGCTCCAGGCTTTCTGGATGTATTTTGTTTTTTTATTTGGACTTTGTTGCTTTTTCACTCTTTTTCAGTCCACATCTTATTTCTAACTATTTTTAAACATCTTTAAATTAAGCTTTTTTTAGACTTATTCACATAAAACAATTTTTATCCATGAAATATTTATTGCAAAGTTCTTCCTAAAGAAGTTCTTAAAGAGTTTTGTTAAGTACAGCAAAATGTAAAACTAGAGATTCACCAATGAGGCTATACTGCTAATTCATATGTTTTCATTTAATGTTCCTCCTAAGTTAATGTTGGTTGTTGTTTTTACAGTCTGACAATGATGAGAATTCATAGCTTTTCTGCAGATATTTCAGTGTTTGATTATCAAAATTTACCAAGAAAACCTTAAAACAGCACTCCTACATAACCTGGTAACACTTTATATGACGCTGTCATAAACATGAGTTAATTACTGATTAAACTTTAAAAATTATGTCGCTTTATGTTATTAAAGCTAAAGTTTATTCAGTAATACTTTTATAACAAATTAATGTCAGATCATGACACGTTATCATAACAAAGGCATTTTAAATAATGCCAGCTTTGTATTAAAAGTGTCATGATTTATCTAATGACACTTTATGACAACAGTCATGAATGTTCATGAAGACTTACTCATGTTAAGTCATGTTCATGACGGTGACATGATTGTCTTATTCACAACCCGTCAAATAAAGTGTTTCCCCTAACCTTAACATTTTGCAAGATCTGCTTAAAAGTTAAGTGGCAAAAACTTTAAGAATCTGATAAGGAGGAAGTGATTCATTGATCTTTTGCCAAGGCAAAGTCACTGAGGGTGACTCTGAAGAAGCGATTTTCAAGTAAGAGAAAATGCTGAGAAAAAGGAAATGAAAGAACTTGGCCAGAAACGTGTGGCGAAGGACGAGTCGTGTCGATTTTACAGCATGAAGAATGATGGAAGGTCTGCAGTTAACTGAAAAACCATGGAGGGTTTTATATTTACGTTTCAGTCATTGGTCTGCAGATCCATAAAGCAGTTTTCCAATTTTATAAGAATATCTTCATATTTACATTTAAGATGCTCCATAAAAGCCTGTCTATTCAGTTGGTTTAATCGATTTTGTCACATTGATCTCTGTTATAGAGTAACGTTCTGGAGCGGGCGGTGGACTGGATCTTCTCTCACCTGGATGACCTGGACTCCATGGAGGTGTCCGAAGCCGGGCGCTCGGCTGCAGAGAGCGAGGGCGGGAGGGACCCTCCACCCGGACCTCGCGTCAGAGACGGACCAGGAAGTGAGTTAATGAGAGACCGGCGGTCAGAATTACCCGCCATCTCACTCTGTAGAAGAAGAGCTACAGGTTAGCTCTGTTTATTTAACGCCGAGGCATAAAGGTTTTCTTCCTTTGCAGAGTACGAGTTGTTTGCGTTCATCAGCCACATGGGGACGAGCACGATGTGTGGACACTACGTCTGTCACATCAAGAAGGACCAGCAGTGAGTCTACGTCTAAATATTACTAACTTTCAAAGGTTCTTTAATAAAACTCAATTTAAGCATCAGGTTGTAATAAACCTGTTTGGTGGAGACCAGTGGCTACATGAAAACTGACATGAAAAACTTATCAAAACTACACACTTCACTTATTTTATTTTAAGTTTTAATTTTCTAAATTAAATTGACTTGCTCAATAAAATAAACTACGTCTTTATATTCAAATAGTTTGAGAAGCTGAGCTTGTTGTTCTGTTAATATTTAATTTCTTCAGAGTAAACTGGTGAAACTTGTAAGTTCTAAGTTTGCACAGTAGATGGCGTCATAGTTCACATAGAAAAATAAGTCCTCACAGAGACGCTTCCTCATCGAGATTTAAATATGTATATTTCTTTTTCATTCGCCTCCACTGTTTCCATTTGATTTTAAGTACTTTGAAAAATGTCAGCTGGTATTTTATTCTCCGAAATGATTCACTGAGTTATTAAACAGATTGTTGTATGACTCTATGCATTTATTTTTCCACAGATGGGTCATCTTTAACGATCAGAAGGTCTGTGCTTCAGAGAAACCTCCCAAAGACCTGGGCTACCTTTACTTCTACCGCAGAGTGGCCGACTGAGGCGGACCAGCGTTTCATCCAGGAGACGACGACGCCAACAAAACCCACAACAGCAAGCTCTTAAAAACGCTCTGGCACGCTTCACAAGTGACAAACATGTAAATAAACAAGTCCCTCAGATTGCTTATAAACACACTTTAATAAATTGGTGCAAATGTACAGATAAGTATTGTGGGGGGGTAGGATGGGGGAGTTGCTGTCTGTCTGTAGCCACTGATAACAAACCGCAGAGCGACTCTGAGTCAAAGCGAGAGCTAATCGAGACTTGTTAAAGCGCAACATTCGGGTTTTACCCAGACTAAATATCCACCGCGTTCGGAAAACTTGAACAAAGGCCCCAAACATGCGCCTGACTCGGACCACTGAGCTCATGATTGATATGTTTACGCAAGTGCTTATCTGTCCCGACTATTGATTTCCACTGCCATCAGTAGTCACTGCCCGTATTCACTGACATATGACGCTTTCAGGCCTTCGTTTCTTGTTTGACTGGAACAATGCACCACTTTAGTTAGACTCAATCTCCTCTTCCCGTTTAAGTGCTAAAAACACTCATAATTAAAAAAAAAAAACAAAAAAAAAACGGTAAAACCGATAAATCAACGTTTTTCATAAGCGTCCGGTGAGGGTGATACTTGGGTGACTTGTGTTTTATTTTATTTTGAAAACAAATGCTTTGTTACTTCTGCTGTGAAAAATAAAGATTTCTCTCTGTCAACCTTGTTTTTCCGTGTCTTTCAACTCATTTCTTGGATTTTGCATTTTCTGACTTCCTGTTTATGAGCAAAAGAAAGTAGGAACCAAATACTATTGTGAAATGAAACATTTATTTGTTCTATTTTCATTTTTAAGTTCCTGGAGTTCTGAGAACAGCTTACAGAACGCCAGGCCTCGATTGTGAGAAAACTCAGGCGTCAGCAGCAAACCCACTGAGAGCTGGGGTTCAGATTGGCCTACAACTTTCCAAGTGCTGCTTTCTTTTCAGAGCTCTTCCGCCTTCCACACTTGCTGCATCCTTGCACACTTGCTTCGATGAACTGAACTACTGAGAGGATGAAAAGAGGTTTTTACCCCCAATAACGACATTAAAGACAAAACAACAAACTTCAACTAAGGTAAGATCTAAAATTAAATAGTTATATTTTTGTTTTACAAATTTTGAGTAATTTGGTGTTTCTAAATACATTTTTATTTGGTTTTGGAGTTTAAACAGAAAGACGATTTGAATGTTTTACATTCAGATACTCCATTTTTCTTTCCGGCAAAGTATAAAATGTGCTTAAAAATAAGTTGTGCTCTAATTACCAGTTTATTTTTGCTTGATAATTGTAGCAAATAATTATTTATCAATTGTTTTCAGCCTTAACTGGTCAGATTGTAATTATACGCAGAGTAACTAATATAAGATGAATATTTTTGTTGTTTTAATGTAGCATAAAGTACGTCTGCAGTCTGAAAACCCACGCTGAAGCCTTTCAGATTGTATAATTACATTTAAGAACTTAAATTACTGCCTTTATAAATTGTTTTTAAGATAATTTTAAATTTATACATATTGTTTGTTCAGTAAAATAATTTAAAACTTGTTTTCGATTGAGGATTTGACTAAGTTTCTGCACCGGAAGCATCCTTAAGATGCATCATAGTTGCAGCAATTTTAAAAGAGTAAATCCTCTGCGTTTTATGTTTTTTGAGGCTATTTCTACATTGTAAGTCAAACCAGCATGAGTTACATGTTTAATGAAAAAGAAGAGAGAAGAGCAGGAAGTGTAGAGGAGCTTGGTGGTTAGGGATCACATGGTTGGTAAGGCGCTCAGAAACAGTAGCTGTGTGTCGCTGAAATGGAAAACAGTTTGCTTTCTGTCTGATCTGCTGCATTCATGTTTCTGTTTTATGCTTCCACCTCTAGAATGAAGACAATCGTCTTGTTTGGTTTGGGTGAGTTGCTTTGCCTCTGAAAATATTCATACAGTAAGCTACAAAGCTCAATCAAAGAATAATAAACTTTTTTTTCCCTTCAGTGCTGGGAGCGATTTCTGCTGCAGGCAAAGTTTTTTTTGGAGAGGTTGGAGGCAAAGTCAAGCTAGAATGTGGCGTCAACAGCTTCAGCAATATGGTGGACTGGCGTCATGACGGGCTTGTCCTCAGAATCTTCAAAAAGAATTTTCCTTCCAAAGGTTCCTACAAACTTAGTCACAGTAATGTACTTGTGTGTTTTGTGTCATTAATAAAAATATAATCATAAACTTTATCTGTTTTCTGTTAGGACAAAGTAAATTTCGTCAGAGGGTAAAGGTAATAGAAGAGATAAACATGGAAATCTCAGGGATAATTGAAAGCGATTTTGGAAAGTTTACTTGTGCTGCAGATGGTTCAAGTCATGAACACGATCTGATCGTAGTTTCAGGTGAGTAAAAGATCCAGGACAAAATAAAACTACAGTCAGTGAAACGTCAGCTCACAAGGTTATGATTACGCTGATATATTGAAACTGTAGTTATTAAGAATGAATGAACAAACATGTATTTAACATGTTTCTGTTTTTAAAACGGTATAAGTTAGTTTTATGGGAAACAAAGGCTGCATTAATTACGATACTCAACTAAACTGAAGATTGCAATAGAAAACCATTTAAGAATAAGAGCAGAAGACAAACAATAGTTAAGCCACATGTTTTTAAACCCATTCAAGCTTGCATTGCTTTTCCAAGGCCTGCAACAATATAATGTGTCAATAATATCCCAGCATGCTGTTCTTTCACATTTGGATTTCCCATTGTGCTTGAACATCTCATCATCTTGGCTTCTGGATAACAAGTTTATTCTTGCATAACTAGTAAATAATTGATACAAGATGTTTTTGCAGTGCCAATAAATGCAGTAAGAGTTGCTTGACTTCCTTTAAGCTTCGTCCCTGGATAGTCAATTATCGAGGACAGGAAACGGTTTTAAAAGTTAATTTTACTTCTCATCTCAATTAACACAATAGAAGCATAAACTATGCAGAGTTTAGCTTTTCACAATTTTGCTCAATTTCTTTGTTTAGAAGTCTTGAAATGTTTTTTTCTTCTAGATGAGTCAACATTTGTGTATTACAGAATACACAGCAGCTTCAACATGAGTTCTCATCTTTCAAGATTCTCACTGTATCTTCTTTCTGTTTCTCGTCTCCACTAGTCTCTGTTCCCTCTGGTCCTCTGAAGGTTGGCGCTGATGCTACTCTGGAGTGTAAAACAAATTCTGGAGTGTCAGGTCAATTCAACCCTAAAGTCAAGTGGCAGAAACCCGATGGTTCAGTTCAGATCGAAACCAGAGTTGAGCTCAAACCCGTCGCTTCATCAGATAAAGGGATCTGGTCGTGTGTAGTGTCCTGTAAAGGGGAGACATTTGTTAAAAATGTAACCATCAATGTGGAAGGTAGGACGTTTTCACTAAAGTTTAAGCCTACTCTGAAAAAAATAGCTGTGTTCAGGAGTATGAAATGTTTTTTTTGTGTGTGTGTGCATTTCAGAAAATGTTCCAAAAACAGCAATTCCTACATTAGTGGAAAATCCCAAATCCTCAAATTCAGGAAATGGGAAGAACTCCACTGGTGAGGACTGAATTTATCACTAATTCAACCATTTCCTGTTTTTGAGTTTCTCTCATTTTAATCCTGTCTGATGTTTTTGCTCAACCAGGTGGCGTCAGAGGATCTGGGGACCCTTTACTGCTGCTGGGCCTGGCTTGGTGGATTTGGGCTGCAATCGGAGCCGGAGGCCTGATAGTTATCATCCTGATCATCGTCATCATTGTCGTGCACAAGAGGAACAAGAGAAGGAAGGTACGTAATTTATTGCTTCCTGTTACAGGTGGTACTGAAGAGTAGCATAACTCCAACACATTTTTACTCAAGTAAAAGTGAAGTGTAATCTTCCAAGAAATTACTCGAGTAAAAAAGACGGACCACGTTATAAAGTTGTGCAGGAAGTTGCATAAATAACATCAAAATTGATTTTTAATATGAAACTTATGAAAATTTAATAAAAAATATGCAAGTGTGTCTGGTGAATATTTGGTTAAAACATGTTTGTTCTTCATTCTGTTATTCACAGTAAGTTGAATATCCAAAAATGTTATTCAACTATAATGTTATTCAACTATAAGTAGCTTCACTTCATATTAAGATTATTCAAGTTACAAGTTGTTGTGTAAGTAAGAGGAAAAAGTATTTGGTAAAAAGATTATTCATAAACTGAGTAATTGATCAACATCAATCACTCAATATTAAAAATGCCACGATCAGATGGAAGAAAATATAAAGTTGTTCAATAAAAATCTGTATTTTAAAGATCAGAATGAAAATAATTCACATAAATGACATAATTGCAAAATGACAATGAGGCAAATCAATTTATTTCAATATGAAACTAATAAAAACTGCAGGTTTGTGTTTGAATTTTTGATTGTGATTGAATTTTTGATTAGTCACACTGTCCAGAAACTTCACTCAAGTAAGAGAAGCCATACTTCAGAATAAAGTCAAAAAGTAACAGTAAAAATCCTCCTAAGACTTTTTGCTTTTCCAAAAAGTTACAAATGTAACCAGTAACTACTGAACTCTGCTTTCATTTATCTACAGAATAAATTTCTGAGGATGAAGAAAGCTCAGACACCAAAGAAGTACTGCCAGTGTGTGCGGTAAACGCTCCCAGCTCACTTCTATCTCTTAAAACATCACTTCACCCCGTCTCCATTAATCTCCTTCTGCTTTCCTAACAGACTCTGCTCATTTTGTGCAGAATGACCTTCACTTTTCTCTGCTCCTTTCAGTGAGCTCTTCGTTATTTTGCCGTAATTAGTGTGAAAACCTCTCCTTCCTCTCTTTATCACAGCCAAGCAGCTGCAGCAAAGCCGCAGCAAGGACGGCGGAGAGAGAAGCCGTCAGCCCTGCCGCTTCAACCTCTGCTGCAGGAGTGACATGAAAGAGGGAGGAAGGAGAGATAAAGAGAGAGATGGAGATAAAGAGAAGGAGTGAAACAGCAGAGGGTGAATGTGGCATGAATGTAAATGAACGTCTGAATGAAAGTATAATCAAATGTAACGCTGTCAGCACTTTGAGCTTTTTCAGCAAATACTGTACAGGCGGTGATTATTGTAATTTTAGCTTTAACATGTATTTTTTTAAATGGTCTTAGTGATAGCCATCATGCTAACGTTTGCATTTCAGCTAAAATGAGCTCATTTTGGTGTAAAAGTACAAGCTAATTGATTTAAAGATGCAGCATTCAACTTTTATTTTTAAAAAGGTTTTACTTGTTAAGATTATAAACATGATGTGACAAAATGAACTAGTTGATGAAAAGATCGATATCCTCCACCTCCTCCCTGGACTGATATTGCCATCTGAAGAAAAGCACCACTCCTGACCACAAATAACCAATCAGAGCCAGGAGGCGGGTCTCAGCGATGTCAATCATGCTCATGTACTCAACGTGCTAAAGGGGGAGAAACAACTTCACGTCACAGAAAAACTGTTTATACACCATCATGAGTGGCTTTGCTAACAGGCTTTGCTAGCTGCAGAACAGCAGAAAGCAAGGGGAGATGAGCACTGTCACATGGAGAATGATTGACAGCACTAAGACCCGCCTCTGGGCTCTGATTGGTTGTTTCCAGATATTATAGGAGGAGGCAAAAGAGATTTTTTTTCATAGATTTTCAGTCTCTAAAACTGTCACAACATTGTGACAGTTTCAACAAATATGTTAAATATATTTTTATAGGTTACATACTGCAGCTTGAAAGTTAAGACTTTTTTCCAACTGTAATTGTTTCTGTTTCCTCCACCTTAAGAAGTTGCCAGCATGTGAACATTCATTTATTAATGCTTGACGCCGACATGTTTTATCATTTGATATGTGCTTCTTCATTTATAAACTTATTGCCCTTTCTTATTGCTGGTTGTAAATAAAAGTATTGAAGATTTGCTTCAAACTATTTTTTTTTGTATTTTTATTTCCAATCAATAAATCAGGTGGGTTACCTAGATGAGTCATTATTTCTGGATGCCTCCACCAGTCTGATTAAAATCACAATACCACACATCAGTAAACACGACACGTCCCGCTGATTGCCCCATTGTTCTGTGCGGCTCCCCAGTGTGGTCAGGCATAAAGTTATATTGCAGGGTAATCAATGGAAAACGTCTATACGTAATCACATACCGAAGGGATATTTAACTCAGGCACAGTAAATGAGAAATCGTTGCTTCATAAGCTCTGTCATCGTAACTTCACACAATATTGCAACACTTTGTTGGAGACGCAGTAAACTGGGCCTGTACTGGTTCCAAAGCTCTGAAAGTCCCACAACTGGTGCACTAAGACGCAGGTGTTGACCCCAGTGCAGATCTACATGCAATGAAACACCTGTTAAACACACACACACCAACAGCAGTGACATACTTACTAAAGAGTAAAAAGATAGTATCTTATGAGTTAAAATGCAATCTTGTTTTGTCAGCTGGTGGCTCCTTGTTGTTCCTGCTGCTTAATAATCCGAATGCCACAAGTAGTGGAGACGTACTCCAGTCCAAATTTAAGCCACATGGATAATTTCCGGTTGCCTTTTGCTCCTGTTGCTTTTAGCAAAGCTGCAAGAGCTGCACCCTGGTAAATATACAACCTCACACAGGTAAACAAAACACTTAACATTTACATAATACCTGGGTGAGACTGTCGATGTATTTTGGTGAAAACACAACTTACCTTCGAAGTTCTTCATGGAGTTTGACAGCTTAAATCCTTTGTTGAGGACATCTGAATAATTTTATAATTAATATTCCTGCAGTGACTGAAGAGTCATTGCTAACATGCCTGGGCAACTGGAAATGGTCTATGTTGCTAAAAAACACAAAAGTACTGAAACAGAAGTCAATGGCATACAGGCTGTTTGAATTTAATGTAGGGGATCCATTTGGCTGGTAGCAGAACGGATTGGATCATAGAGGTGTTTGACTTCCTGCGTGTCACAGCAGACAAGCTGCCAAATGTCAGAGCTGAACTCACTGCCGAACTGAGATCATCACCTGTGAGTAACTCCTAAATATTCCCTATTCACATGAAGCTTTATTAGAAAACAGTAGGCAAATTTAAAAATGACTTATTTCTGATAGAAGAGATAAAAGTCAGGCTTAAAATAGCAAAACGATCAAGTTGGGACGCGCGACCAGTGATGAACTCCTTAAGAGGGTAGAGAGTGTGAATACTTTGGTGTAACTTTGGCCTTTATTTCTTTTTTATTTCTCTCTGTGCAACAACTGATTTGTTTTTAGACAGATTCAGATGTGTTTGACCTCATAAAAGTGTCTCCATAACTAAAACATGTACAACAAGTACAAGGAATCAGTTGACAGTCTGTTTATTATCATTATCAGATAAAAAGACACAAAACAGTAAAGAAGTGGATCAAATTTTAGAGGGATTTCATATGTCACTGCTGTTCATCGCTGCACTTTTTAACAAACCTGAAACACCAACTTTAATCAGCGGCTTTCCCTCCCTGACATTAGTTTACGAGTGTTTCTATTTTCTTTCAAAGTTACGACAGCCAGAGAATTTCAAAATGTCAAAACCTACATGCCAAAAATAGATGCTCGTCTTTACATTGACAGATCAGAACTTATGCAGTTGGAACGCATATATTTTGCAATCACTGGATGAAAAGAATGCTAAATATGTGCTAATCCTACAGCAGCAGTTCAAACATGAGGGTGAAAATCTTCAGCACATTTGATTTAAAAGTACAGAAACCCTGGAGAGTGAAGCTCTTCTATGGACGTTTTGTTGACTTTTATCTCCAGCTGCTGCTAATCGATTGAAAACGCTGCTGATAATGTGAAACCTGACTGCTGTAACGTTGTTTAGTTTCTATTTGGAATAATAATTGTTCATCTGCATTTGAAAAAAACTGTTACTTGCCAACTAAATCCTGATCTGGGGGACACATTTACTGAAGAAAACTGCAGAATATTCATGTTTTTTTCTGAAGACAGAAGGTTATATAACTGATATAATCACCATAATGACATTCTTGACAAAACGTGTCTCTAATGGTTCCCCCTGGCTCGATGTGCAAAAGAAATGAGATTAGATATTATATACAGAGCATATTTTGTGTGATTTATGATACTAATAGGGTCATTAGATTCATGCAGCGCTTGTATGAGTGTCACTGTTGGGTTTTATCGTAAACACACTGCTGGTTTGGAGCTTCTCGTGCAGCGACAGTGAAGGTTTAATAAGAATAAATTGAATAAATCCCAGTATTCATGACCTCTGTGGGGAGAAAGCATCAGTGCGCCACGCAGGTCGAAGGCCTCATGAGCTGAAACTTTAAGCTGTTAACTGCAGGAGTTTGTTGCAAAGGCAAAATACGTTCCAGCTTTCACACATTCTGACAGAAAAGGAACAAGAGTTCAACTAAAGCCCTTAAACCTCCTGACAACATAAAACTACCATAAAGTCCAGTTTCTATTTTTCTGGCAGATATTTTGTCTTGGTGCGTCACAATAGCAGATTGTAAAACAACAAGGGGTTCCGTTAAGTCGAATCATGTTCATTTGGCGCCTGTGCTGCAAAATGAAGCATTTCTTCTATTAAAAGTGTGAAAATAACATGGGAGGCGTCAACCAAATCCACCCTTATATTGTTGATTTAGAGGACTGATGAGATTCATTGCACTGAAAAAATATTTTAAGAAATGAGGACTGCGACGGTGAAAAATAAAAGCCGATGCCTGCGTTGGTCAAGTTTTCTTTCCGTCAGATGTCTAAAAAAACCAGTGAGCAGAATAATCTGGATTTTTTTCTGTCTCGCTTCCTGGGATTTATAGAGCCTTGACACTTTTTAATTAAAAATGCAGAAACAATGCATGAATTCTGCTTTGTAATGCTCGTTTGTAAGGTTACAAATATCTATGAACGTATTGAGATGATTGTATAAAATAATACTAAAAAACATCCAGTTGCACGTCTGTTTCAATATTTCTTTTGTCTCTCATCTGTCATGTAAATAAAAGTCTGTATTTTACTTTACGACAAATCTGATCATAATCTATTTTATCTTGTATACTAAATAAACTCCCAGTATCTGTTACTGGGATTAGTGGGCATGTTGGTGCTATGGCTTTAAAAATAAAAGTAACTTTAAACTTTCCTTTCATGATTCATCAAATTAAAATAAAACCATTTTGAGTGTTTGGCATGATAATGGTGAAGGCATGTCTGCACTAAAATCTTCTTGTATTTTCAGAGTAGCTGCTCCTTTCATTCTCATCCAACTCTGAAAGTATAAACTCAAATTGCTTCATAAGTGCATAAAATCTATGAATTAGGATTCAGATCTTGCTTGTGCTCTCTTGTCTCTAGAGTGTTAGGTTTTGGATGAGGATTTAGGACGATAAAATGGATTAAATGGAGCTTATTTGAAGAACAATTGTCATTAAAAAGCTTTATTATGAGATATAGGCTTGTTATTAAAACCTCCAGTCTATTAAAATTAAAAGATAAATAAAATGCAGCATTTAATATAGTCATTTTTGCTTTTTCAAGACATGAGCGCATTTGTAAATGGAGACTCTTTCAGTCTATGAAAGCAAACTTTTGTTGCTTCACTTCTTTATTTGTGATCTGATCTGATATGTTGGGGAGTTTTTGTCTTTAGTTTTAGAAATGGACAAATCTCCTCAGTGACCCGTAAGGACTGCAGGTGGGTCAGATTAAATGCTGTAACAATAGTTGAGGTTAGGATTTAAACCATTTTAGACAGTGGCACATTTTTCTGCTGTGGACGAACATGTGTGTGTAATTTCCAAAATGCAGGAGAATATAATATACCGTAAGGAGAATAGGGCTTGTTATGTTTCTGTTCGCTGCAAACTAAACTGCTTCAAAAAGCCATTTGTTTGTTCCTCTATTGGTCTTTTTGTCAGTCTGAGGACATGTAATTGCAATATTTTATATTATATTACCACAAGGAGTCTTTGTACAAACTGTCTGAAGCTTTTTTAGTCCAGTACCAAGTATTTTGTATCATGTCTGCTGCAAGATTTTGTTTAAAGACAGAATAGATTCACTTTGGTTAAAAAAAGAAAAGTTATCGACTCTTTTTAGGAAATTACCTGTAAAGATAATGCTTGTTCTCTCACAGTCGTAAGAAGGGATTATGTGTTTTATGCGTGTGAAATAGCTTGATGGCCTGCGATAAAACTAAGATGGAGATTCTCTGCTTCATAATTTCAATGCTGTCCGAAAGGCATGTCTGTGATTGTGATGTTTTAGCATTTGTCTGCTGGCTGTGGGAAATCAGGATCACCAGATGGCTTTGTTGTCCTAAACTTCTGCTGTTTTGCTGATTTCTTTCACGTCCGTCCACTTATTGCACATAAACCTGAAAAGCAGAAGTTCTTGATAAACTCTTGGCTTTGTGATGAATTCAAGTGACTCAGTTTTTATTCTGCACCATTTTAAAGAACAAAAACACATTAAATTTCTCCATTTCCTCTTGCTGGATTTAATTCATCATTTCACCCAACGTTCATGTCTACTTTCGAGCCTTAATGTGCGTTTTTTTTCTTCTCTGCAGGCGATTACCAAGCTGTGTTTCCCTGTTATGAAAATATAACTGTCTATTCACTGGGGGTGTCCTCATATGAGACAATAGGATTCCCTTTTCATAGATTCATAATAACCTGCATTACTCAGTTCCCTTTTTCATTGTCTTTCACAAATGAACACACACACACACACACACACGTTCAGGCATTCAAAGCGAAACCGAAATTCATGAACTGGTGATTATCCCTCCTTCTTGTATTTCCATTTCAAGTTGTGTTTTCCATCAGGATCCGCTAATGTGATTTCACTTCACCATAAAACAGCCGTTGTTGTGCAGGAAACCCGAGCACAAATTTGTGTCACATTCATGTTGAGCGCAGAGAGCAGCGGTGCTGCAGGATGGGAGTTTTAGGCATTTTAAACAAGCTGCCAGCTGGGCCGGGCCTGCAGGTGCAAACTGAAGCCCTGCCAAAGGATTTAAACATTTTAAAACCTGAACTTTCTCGGTCTGTTCGGAGTCAAATGATCATGTGTTGAGGTGTTTTCCCTCCCTGTAAACTCCCCTCATGTGTCGCTGCAGGCCCACGTAGGTTTCACACGGCGAAATCACCCGAGTTCACTTTTAAGTAAACTCCAGATTGTGATCAGACTTCAGACTCTGCTTGAGGTAAAATTATTTTTGAGACCCTAAACTGATATTATCGAGACCCATATCTTAGTGGGTTACATGTTGGGTGTTAATGCTTCTCTAGGGGATGTGGTGCAAATGAAAGGAAATTGATGGTGAAACGGGTCTGTTGGCCTTCACGGTTTCACAGGTGTGTTTCAGGCCCCCAGCAGCAGAGCACCTGTCTGTCTGTGAGATAATCCTTTGATTCATGATCACGCTAATCGGAAACCTCTGCATGTTTAACCACATAGCATTAAAGCTGCCTTTTACATGAACTCTCCCAAAAGTCTTTACTCACTGAAGAAATACTCTAAATCTGAACTGGAGGCGCTTTTTAACATTTTGAAAGTGATAGAAGAGCTGCAGGTTTAACTATGACAACCTTTTTTATCCCGCTGTTTTACAAAAATTACACATTCAGAAAAATCTCTATTTGTTTTAACTGTTGCTTCTTCTTTCACTGCAAAAACATCTTACCAAGTATTTTGTTCTACTTTGTAATGTAAATATCTCAGCACATTTGAAATGAAACAAAACTAACGTACAATTATCTTTTTAGTAAAGGAGGTTATTTTGATTCAATAATTCCTTAATATCGATGAAAAAAAAATTAGCTATAATATATCCCAGCGGAACCAGATATTTTGACTTTTAGCGAGTTCTTTTTCGTCAATATTAAGAAATGATTGACTTAAACAAACTCCTGCATTTTGTCGTAAAGTAACTTGTAAGTTAGTTTTGTCTATTTGCAGTAGAAAATAATGCACATATAGGAAATACTTGTAATATTTAGTGTTTATGCAG